AAAAATTTTCAATTTTATATACTTGTACCACAACGATCAAATAAGTACTGTAACTATTCATCATCATAAGGACATCAGTCCTAAGACTGGTTGGACACCCACTTCCACTCTTTCCTATCCTGAGCTAATCTTTGAAAACTAGAACATCCCACATCCTTAACTATTTCTGCCTCTTGTCTCTTCTATACCTTCATGCCTGAGAAAGTGTCCTACCAACCTATGTCGCCTATTTTTTATTAACTTTCATAGAGTCCTCTGTTCTCCTGTTCTTTCTAATACCTCTTCAATTATAACTTTCTCTATCCTCGGTATCCTCATCATTCGCCGGTAACACCACATTCCGAACGCTTCTATCATTTTTTTTTAACCGCGCTCACCATCCTTGTTTCGCATCCGTACAGTGCCGCACTCCAAACATAAACCTTTAACAATCTTATTCGAATTTCTAAATTAATCGAGAGTATAGAAGTGATTGTAACTATTACATTATTTTTGAAACCACGTGTTATTGTAATTTTTTAAGGACTGTAATACCTAATAAGTTCTACTTTGTTACTGATAGCTTTCTTGTACATTTTTTAAACAAGAAAATGTTTCTGAAACATTATAAAAAATTTTATTTTAGTCAAGCTTATTTAATAACGAATATTTCCTTAATTATTATGTTTAATAAAAAAAATACACTAAGAGTTTATATTTAACACTGAATATATTTAATATTTGGAAATAAACACTTTTATGAGAAACCGCAATCCTTTCATAATGTATTGTGTAGTCAAGGTAACCAACTTGATTGTTCGATTTTGATATCCGATACCGTAAAACATTAAATCGTGTTGGAAATTCTTTACAGAAGTAATTTTATTTGGTTAAAAATATGGAAGGTTATAGAGATAACAGTGTACACTATACTGCCATAAAAGTTTGCGAAGATTTGCAAAATACACCGTCATTTAAAACGTTTTTTGAGAATGTTCAGGTAACATTTTTTATTACTTAATTTTATAACTATATAGGTACTTACTGTACTTATCCTACTTTTTTATATTGTTGAATAAATTACCCTATTAAGATAACTAGTTGGTCAAGCTAATTTTAAATTGCTGTGATTTAAAGAGGTTATAATACAGAGTTATTGCTATTAATTTGGTAAAAAATAATTATCTACGTTATCTCTACAAACGTTTAATGTTCTTCAAAGTACTTCTCCTCGTCATCCACACACATTTGGAAACGATTTTTCCATCCTAGTAAACGTTGATGGGTAGATCGCGTTTAGAGCATTTGAACTCTTTCAATAGCACCAAAATGGATTCTTTTCAAAAAGCCTGCCGGAGTAAGGAGCTAGGACTGTAAGAAAGCTAGGGCAACGTTTCCAAGATATACTTTACGAGGCACAACAACTAAAATTTTATTTAGTGAAGTTGTAGCAATGAAACAAAAATATATCCTAAATAACGTTTCGTCATTTAATTTTTGACCGTTCTAAAAATTGATGAAACTTTTTTATTCGCCACTTGGCTTCACCAACTGTGTTTCGTACAGTTAGTAATTTAATATTTTTGGTGCAAAACTGTTAGATAAAGGCCAAGATATTTCAAAATACATTTAAAATTTCATTCCCTTTTAAATCTTTTATTATAAATAAATATCAAGTGTCCTTATTTTTTTGGCCCCCGATTATTTAAGCATTTAATATTCTTACGTTTTTCTCACTTTTTTTTGCTGAAGATATAGTTTATTTTTTTACATTCACTACTAACGAGCAGTCTCATTTTGCAACAAAAAATGGTAAGTTCTGAACTAAAACTAAAGAATACATAATAAGAACACAGGTTTGCTGAGGTAAATTTAAAAATAATATGCGCTATTTTCGGGAAAGTATATGATATAATGAACTAAGACAGATAGATAACAAATGACATTGCAATGTTTAAAACTTAGTGTTTTCTTTTCTTGTGTCAATGTGACAGTACATCTGAAAAATTCTACGTCGTTTTTAATAAAACGTACCAAAATTTTAGAAATTAGTTGCAACGTCAAATGTGAAGCAAGAAGATTTTAAAGCTTCCTTATTAAAAGCCATGGTTGATAATGGTCTAGAAGCAGAACTAAGGAACAGTGTTTATCACTGGATCCGAACCAAGACAAAAGATAGTCAGACTTCTACTTCGTTTGAAGCGTATCTGAAAAAGACTCAAAATCAATGGGAAAAACGAATACATAAATCACTTAATTCGATGGGAAGTGAATTATCCGCACCTTTGGCCACTCCACGACAATCTTCTGACAAGGAAGAGATTCAGAGTAAATGGATTCAACTGAGTAACTACGATATTGGTCAGTATGCATAAGGAGT